ATACAGTGCACATACATACACTCAGGCACATACTTACACATAAACTCAACTAAGTAAATAAATTCTTTAAAAATATTTTATTGTTTTTGTGTGTATGAGTATGTTGCCTGCATGTGCGTAAATGCACCCATGTCGTGCAATGCCTGCGGACCTCAGAAGAGGGCGTGGGATCCCCTGGCACTGTTAACCACCACGTGGGTGCTGGGAATTGAACCCGGACCCTCTGCAAGAGCAGTCAGTGCTCTTAACTCTGAGCCTTCTCTCCAGCCCCAAATAAATCTTTTTAAAAATATAGAGTACCACCTTCTATTGCTTTGGCTTCTCTGCTCAGCTCACATTCCTGTTCGCCCTCTGCCCTGCGCACAGTAATACCCGTACCACCTATCAATTATCCTAATTACCACCTAATATGTGTGCTTCCACATCTGGCTGCAGTGTGTGTGTATGTGTGTGTGTGTGTGTGTGTGTGTGTGGTGTGGTGTGTGCTTGCACGCACACACACACACATACCCACACACTACTTTAACTTTCATTAATTTTGATGAAACCAGGATTTGTTTATGTATTTATAGACAGTTTCATATCTCTCAGGCTGGCCTTGAACTCACTACGTAGCCAAGGATGACCTTGAACTTCTGATCTTCCTGCCTCCACTTCCTAGATGCTGGAATTAAAGACATGCAGCACCACACCAGGTTTTATGTGGTGCAGGGGTATGAACTTGAGATTTTGTGCATGATAGGCAATCAACTGAGCTATGTCCCAGCTCTCCAAAATAGGGTCATTCTATACATACTTTACATATCTTTCTTATCCTAATATCTCATGACAATCTCCAGTATTCATCTGGCTCTATCTAATTCATTAACAGCTATGAATCATTTCACACTATGAATATAGTAATGATTTAATGTGAATATTGCTTCCCTCCCAGAGGTTCATTTTGTTGATTGTGCTATAAGAACCTTGATGCCCCCTGGGGTTTTTTCATTTTGCTTATTTGGAATATATTGCTAAGTGTAGGCTGCTGGATGGAAGGTTAATAAACAGTGTATTTTAAGGCTAGACCTTGTTCTTAATATGCCAAGTGACCATGAACGCTCACTTCTCCTTGAATTGTGTTCTTACTGCAAGAGCAGGTGTGGGGGACTACACATGGCCTTGAATGTCCTTGCGGTTTGTTCTAGACGTCCCTGCTTCTGAGTACTGCTGCAGTGACAAGGGACTCCTCACTACTGCAGACCCAGCCAGCATCCTGCAGGAGCTCTGGATTGGGACCTGCAATCTTGCACGAATGAGCTTCTTAACTGAACCTCTGAGTCCTCAGCGTGGACTCTGCTGGGATGGAGAAGGAAGCTTGCCTTGAATTGTCTGGGTCTCCTGACCCCTGGGGGGTGGTCTGAATGGGAACTGGACAGTGAGGCTGATTACAAAGCTCCAAGCTTCTGCCCTGTAGGATGCGGGTACACTCACAGGAGCTCTGATGTCTGAGCATTTTTTCTAGGATGCTCCTAATTTTTAAAAATACAGGTAAAGATTGAATATTTTAATGACCAAGGGAGAAGAGTGTGCATAGTAACTGCCCCCCTTTTAAGGTTTTCTGTCTGTCAGGTGACACCCTCTGAACCAGGTAGAGAGATCTGCTTTATTTATTAAAACCTTGGGGGTATCAAACATGTTCTTCATCTAGACAGAATGATAGCAATAGCCAGTCTTCAGCATAGCAGGCTGTCAGCTTCCGTCACTCACTCCACCCACATGCATGCTATCACTTATTCACCACCCACCCCAGGTTAATCATTGCTCTTATTTAACCTATGGGCAATGTCCTTCAAGGTCACAGAATCAGGAGATGGTGCAGGGAGTCTGCAGAACCCAGATTCTAAGCACAGCACAATACTGCAGTGGACCTGGGTGGCAGGAGACACGTGGCACAAAAGTACTGCAAGGCTTCTGGACTGTCAGTAATGTCACCCCAAACCTGCATGGCGCCCTCACATTCACCATCTACAGAGGTTGCAGGTGTCAGTTGTACCTGTATGAAAATCGACTAGACACAGACATCTTTCTCACACCTTTCCCGTGTGATGGGGCAGACAGGAGTCATCACAGACTTGGGCTGCAATGTGGGCTTGGTCTGCAGGCCCTAGGCAAGGTTTCTGGCCTTTCTGACGAATTGCTCTCCCAGTTCTCCCTTGCCCTGAGGCCCAGGGAAGGCTGTTGGCACAAGCACTGGGTTACCAGCAGAGCAGGGGCTTGCTGTAAAACACCCCTTTCCTGTCCCTCATCTCTCTTTCCTGGGGCAAAGGAGGGGAGAGGCTTGACCGAGGGAGGCTGCCCTCTGGTCCCTTTCGGGCTTAGGTTTCAGCTGCCTTTCTTGTCTTGGCGCAAATATGGTCCTAAGGGCTGTTACCAGACGGGCCTTTTTCCGGTAGACTGCTCCATACAGCCCGGTGCTGAATACGGTCTTCACAAATGGCTAGTTATTTGCTTATCTGCAAGGAAGGATGGTGGGGAAGGGGGGTAGTGATCGAGGACAAAATCAATTACTATTTTTCATCTTTGACAAAGTAATTAAGGTCGTAGTGACTGGCTAATTCCGACCGAATGGCTACGGTGATGGATGCGGATTTACAGCCTTCCCTGGCTGCGGCGTGCCTGCCCAGATTATCACTCGAAACAGGCATCTGAGGAGGCGGGGGCGAGGCCCGCGTGGGGAGAGCAACGCTCTTCTCACGCCCCCCTGTCTCAGCCTTTAAAAAATGTTATTCAGCAGCTTGGTTTGGGCTTCGCAGGTGCTGAGACATAACTGGGCTCACAACCACCCACTCCAGGGCCTGGCCCCTGCTCCTTGGGGTGGGGGTGGGGAGAGAGGACTGTTCTTTCCTCTGGGCCTGGTCCTGCTGTCCTCCAGTGTGGTCAGGTCTCTGAACCCTCCTCCACTCGGGCTGCAGCCCCTCCCTTCTAGAATCTTGCGGCTCGTGCAGAGGCTGAGCTGCGCACTCCCCTCCCCTCGCCCTCTCTGCGTCTCCTGCTCGTCACTCGCCTCTGCAGTGCCTGACGCGCGGGCCTGCCCCTCGCGGGTACCCAAGTGCGCACTTGGCTGGGGGAGGGCCAACGGGCCACACGTCAGGTCCGGAGACGGTGGGGGCGCCGGGCATCACTCCTGTTCAGCCGTGCAGCTGGGGGAGGCTGGAAGGCCAGCACGACTCCGGCTGCAGCCCTCCACCCCCGCCGGCCCGACGCATTCGCACGCCCGACGGCATCCCGCGCCAAATGTTTCCGGGGTAGGGGGGCGGGGGGCGCTCGAATGCAGATTTGAAGACTGGCTAAAAGCTTTGGACTGTCCAAGTGGGCAGAGGGAGGCCTGCACCTAGCCCGGCGCGCCTTGCGGCTCAGTGGAGGCCGGGCCTTCCCTCCACAGGTCTCCGTTCCCTGGTCTTGCTTCTTGGAAATTAAAGTCTATTTTGGAGGAAGTAGAAAGATTTGGGGGGATGTTCCCAGAGCCAAGTGCGTTCTGCTGCGGGGTTGTCATCCCTGCTGGCTTCCAGAACCTTCTTCAGCCAGCGTTCCGCACAGCCCCATGGCCGTGCTGAGTCCTCGCCCACCTCCACAGATTTCCCCGGCTGGTGGGGGAGCGGGCGACTGTCCCGCAAAGGGCTGTGGAGGGTCAGTGGCTTCTCCAGGGTACAAAAGACACTTTTTGACTCCGGCTTTCAGGCGCTCACAACTGGGGCAGTTTCTCAAAGGCTGTTAGCGAATTTAAACGCTACAACGTAATAGAAGCTCTTTGCATGCCCAGCAGTGAGCTCTCAAAAAACATTAGCTAGACACGTTAATAAATGCGGCCTAGGATCCGAAACGAGCTGGCAAGACAGGCCCCGCCTCAAAGGGTTCGAACCCTGGGTCCCCAGGTGGCCGCCGGGGGGGGGCAGGGCTGGAGAAACCCCGCGGAGGCGTGCGTCCGGCCGGCGCGGCTAGGGAGGGCGAGCGGAGCGAGCGGACAGGCCCCGCAGTGCCCCCGGCGCCCCCCGCAATCTGCCGCCGCGCTTTGTCTTCGCTGGCAGGGAGACGGCCCAGTGGAGTGCGACGGCGCGGCCCCGGAGGCAGTGGGCCGGCTGCGTGCAGCACCCGGACTGCGCGCTTTTCGAGCTCCCGATTCCCCAGGCCACGGCTCCCCATATTGTAGCAAACCCACTTCCAGTCTCCTAACAACACCCTAAAAAAGGCGTTTTCCCTTTTATGCTCTTGGCCATTGCCCTGTACCCGCGGCCGAGTCCCTAGTCCGCCATATAAGCATACCACTCCTAACCCCTGGCTCGTACAGGGGACCGTCTTCTGATGGCTTCCCAGAGGGCCAGCCTTGCCCCCAGCTTACTGGGGGATCCTGGTTTCCGGGTAGGACCCCACTTTCCGGTCAGGCCTGGATCTGATGTTTTTGTTTTTTTGTTTGTTTTAATTTAAAAAGGTGATGGAGAAAGGTGGGTTTAAAAGTAGCGGGGGCACTAAGTCCGTGTACAAGTAATTTTCTTTAAATATTTTCAGAAGAGCCTAAAAAAATACAAAGAGAAACCCCAATTGTAACCAGGATTAAATACAAACATTGCATCTTATGGTGTAAACGAAAACCCAGAGTCCAGCCAGGACTGGCTTTCTGGAAGGCTGGGGATGTGGAGCTCTGGACTTCAGGTGCTGACCACCGGTCTAAACTCTCACCAACTGCAGGGACTCAGCCTGAACCAGGTATGAGCTCGGTGGCTACAAGCAGACAGGCTTGGTGCCCTCACTTTGGGGGTGATGTTGTGGAATCTGACGATTCAGAGAGACAGCAAGAGAATTAACCCCCTCCCGGCACCGACAGACCAATGGGCTTGGTTGGCAGCCGCCTCGCCTTGGGTGCAGTGGGACGTGTCCCTCCTGTGTTTCCCTTAATTAGGAGGAGGCAAACTTTCCTCATTCCCGCCCACCGGCTTTGGTTTCCTAGTCATGCCCACATGAGTCACGCCGAGCAAGCAGCCCCTTCCTGCCCAAGTGACAACAGGCCAGCGTAGCCCGGGCTGTTGTCCCTTTAAAACCCGAATCCGAAGGGGTAATGATTTATCAAACGTGTGTTATCAGGAAGATGTCAAAGGAAGGGCACCTTGCTTTGCACTGACGCAAAACCCGGCCTTCCCCGGGGAGATATAGAAAGCGCCTCTCCTTGCGGGCCCGAGCCTCATCCAGTGGATAGCCCGTTTTAATCTGTTGCGGGTATCAGACATGGTAAGTGCTTGGCTTTTGTTCTTTTAAGAGGAGCCGTGGCTGCGGGAATAGGGAGGCAGTTTCATTTGGGATATTCTTTTTGGAAATATCTGTGCATTAGGCGAGAGGGCTGGAGGACAATTTTCGAAAGTTCAGGTCTCGTTATTTGTACTCGTGAGACCAGAAAGAGGTTTCGTAGAGCTGTGAATCCAGGGTACCCAAGCTGGCCCCTAGGGCGCTGTCCGCGGTGCTGAAAGCCCCGCCGCCAAAGCTCCCGCGAGTTGCCCTGGGCCCCGGGGGCTATTGAGAATGCGGGCTGGAGTGGAGGTATTACATCTGGTACAAATTAAGAAGCTTTGGTCTGTGCAGATGTGCAGCGGGCTAGAGGAGAGGCATGCGGTTGAGGCGAAAGTAATTTGATTATTCTTACTGTATAATAGTTTATGCTAACGTGGAACTCGGAGAGGTGACACTAGCCAAAGAGACGGGAAGGCGAATGGAAAACACACTCCTGACAGTCCTTTTCATTTAAAATTCCGTTGAGATACAGCTAATAAAAATTATGAGTTTTGGTCCCCAGTAAAGAGTAGGCAAGGGAAAGGAAGGATTTCAAACTCCTGCTGACTGGGCAGCAAAACAAAATAAAAATACTTTGCGAGCACTTTCCACATTGCTAAGAATCAAGACTTGAACGTGGGCTGTGTACGGTTTCAAAGCCAGTTACTACTTTGTGTTTTAAATCTTGTTTTGCTTCCGTGGTAGGTTTTTGGGGCGGTGGTGATATTTTGATCATAAGCTTTATCCTTTACATTGTTACCTGGGCTGCTGCCATAGCCTGGGAGTGCTGGAGTTAGCATGTACCCATGTGGCCTCCAGCCCTGGCCCCGGAGCTCCAGCTTTGTGGTCACAGCTTGTCTACTGGGGGAAAAAAAGGCAACGTGCATTGTTGAATGACAAAGGAAATGGGGCGGAAAATTAAAGAATCTTTCTACAATGGTGTTGGGGATGCAGCACCCACAGCCCTGATTTGAAATCCAAAGAGGGCAGGGAGCTCGTGGCTGTAGGCTATTTCTACCTTACCCTCCTTTTCCATGCAAAATCTATTCCTGCTCCTTTTTCTTTTCGTTCAGCATCCACAAGGGAGGAAACATTAGCGTTTTCAAGTCTTAGGGAATTGATGGGACTGGCAATTGAGAAAAACCAATTGCAGGGATGGTTAAAAAAAAATCCAGATCCCATTTGCCCCC